TAAATATATATATATATATATATATATATATATATATATATATATATATATATATAAAATATACTTGCAAAATAGAAATATATATATATATATATATATATATATATATATATATATATATATATGTTTTATAGAATTGTAAGTGGTGTGTTGTCTTTGAGCCGACTCCTCCCTGACTTCATATCTCCTTTTTGCTTCATACAAAAAATCTATCAGGAGATATGGTTAGTCAAAATAAGATCACTATCATATTATTAAAACTTTCGTTTAGTCGACTTGCGAAACTCACTGCGTGCCGACAAATCCGAATAAAACGAATATAACTTTTATATTCCGAATATAACTTTTAATAATCCGAATAATCCGAATATAACTTTTAAAAAAATCATATATCCCATGTCACAAAAACTGCCTTCTTTCATCTGAGAAATATCGCTAAATTACGAAATATGCTATCCATCTCAGATGCAGAAAAGCTCATCCATGCTTTTATGACTTCGAGACTGGATTACTGTAATGCTCTATTTGCTGGCTGCCCAGCATCCTCTATTAACAAACTTCAATTAGTACAAAATGCAGCAGCCAGAGTTCTGACCAGGTCTAGAAAATATGATCAAATCACCCCAATTTTATCCTCCTTACACTGGCTGCCTGTTAAGTTTCGTATTGAATTTAAAATATTACTTCTCACCTATAAAGCTCTAAATAATCTAGCTCCTGTTTATCTAACCAACCTTCTGTCTCGCTACAAACCAACTCGCTCTTTAAGATCTCAAAACTCAGGGCTTCTGGTAGAACCTAGAATAGCAAAATCAAGTAAAGGAGGTCGAGCCTTCTCTTTCATGGCTCCTACACTCTGGAATAGCCTTCCTGATAACGTCCGAGGCTCAGACACACTCTTTCAGTTCAAAACTAGATTAAAGACCTATCTGTTTAGTAAAGCATACACTCAATGCATCACCTAGCGGGTTCCACACAGGCTTCTGCATCTTGCTTATATACACTATGAACAGCAGCTACGCTAATTATTCTCTTTATTCTCTATTTTCACCTGGGGATACTCATCCCGAGGTCCTCAGATTAGGCGGAGTCACTGATTGGATCCAAGACCGGCGACGTGATGATCCCAAGGTTTCCATATCCGGGACCAGGCCATATCCTGAGCTGCTGCTGCGCTGATGGTCGTGGGGAGTGGAGAACATGAGTCTGATTCCAGCGACGCTCCAGGGACAGACGAGTCTTCGCTGAGGCCATCTTCCAGCCTAAACCACGGCGAATGAAGCTCTGCACAAGACTTTTGGCCAGCGGAGAAATTAAAATGGTCGTGCCCAACTGAGTCTGGTTCTCTCAAGGTTTTTTTTCTTCACTCCCATCAGGTGAAGTTTTTTTTTCCCTCTCCGCTGTCGCCACTGCCTCGCATGGTTCAGGATTGGTAGAGCTGCGCATCGATGAATTTGCTCTTCAGTGAACTCTCTGTAATGATTAAATCACACTGAACTGAGCTAAACTGAACTGAACTTAAACACTAAAACCTGAACCACACTGTTCCAGTTACTATGAGCATTTATGTGAAGCTGCTTTGACACAATCTACATTGTAAAAGTGCTATACAAATAAAGCTGAATTAAATTGAAAAAACACTGTTACGCCAGCTTTTTTTTTAGCGTGCATGTTCACTACCCTCAGAGCAGTGCGCAAGCATGTTTTTTTTTCTGCGCACATGCTCAGTTTGCGGTTTGAAACTACATTGCTTTCATTGGAGTTGGTTTGGTTGCACATAGAGAATAACGTCTTTACTCTGGGATGACCACTCTTAATTTATACACTTGCCTTTAAAGTAAATCGTATCTCAAGTCATTTACTAGGGCACTGGCGATTTTTACTGGGGCACGTGCCCCAGTAAATGGGGTCTAGCGACACCCCTGCTTTCATCCCAGCGTAATAATAAAGGAAATTTGTCAATAGTATCTGGATGCAGTCTTTAAGATGCAAGCTGAGATTGCATCACTCAGCGATGCAATCTCAGACACAATGGAGTGAGTGACGTCACTGTGACGGGCGGGGTTAGGTGAGCGCATTGAAAAGCATTTTCAGATTGCATTGCATCAGGTCTGCATCCAGACTCCTCTCAAATGTACTGCAATATTTGGTAGACAGGAATACTATCAAGCTATTGATTTTTCCTTTTTGAGTGAGATGGTCTAATAGGATACATTGGTTTATGCTAAGCTAAGCTAAAAGTGCACCGGTGTCCTGACATATTATCTTACCCATCAGATTATGCTACCAACACTGTATTTGAATGGTTATGAGGTTGGGGTTAGGGAATAGGTAGGTTAGGGTGATTTTACAGCTTCATATCACACTACTTTACATTAGAAGTGACACTCAGGGTCCCGCATCAACACCCCTACCCCCCCACTCTCCAGTGTCAGATCTCTCCCCCCACTACCCGCTCTTCAGTTTTAGATGGCTCTCCACTACCCCCTCTTCACCAGGGGGCCCCCCCAATAATCCATGCAGGGGGCCCCAGCATTTTGCACTACGCCACTGTTTACACTGGTAGCAAAATCTAATGGGTAGCATATTGCATCAAGTGCTACCTACTTTCCGAATTGGAGGTAGGACAATCTAACAAGGTGGGAAAAATTGACAGGACACGGACCAGAACCGGACATCGGCTGAATAACGTAGACTAACCATGTTCCGTACACTATTCAGCGCACTCAAACGACCACTCCTCCGTCATTGAAAGCCAGATAAGCATGCTTGTGTGTTCATTCTCTGGGGAAATACCTATTGCACGATCCAAATCTTGATTGATGTCTTTTGGACCAGTAGTTTTTGAGAAAAGATGGGAAAAGTACCGCCTTTGCATATGTACGGAAGATGATAGGTATCAACGGTGTTCCGTACACAACTAAAATAGTGCTCCGTACAGGGCGCATAACTTTAATTCACTGGCAAAAATGGGCATTGTTTGAAGTCTTATTAAAATCTTGTGTTAGAATATACTATTAATGTGTTTAACTTGAAGTTAATGATATATTTAATAACTCTTTTAAAAGTTTGAAAGTTCAAAGTTTGAAATAAAATCACTTCACAATCATTTAATTTTTATATCATGTTTATTATATTATACCATGACAATTTAAAATACTAAAACATTAAATTCATGCACATTAACACTAACTTGACTGACCTTTTATGAATATAAACATCATCACTGCACTGTGCACCCATAACTGAAGTTTAAATATCCCCATTTCAAAGCAATATTAAACAAAAGATAATTTATTTAACAATTTGTGATGACATAATATTCACCTCATAAAGACTGGAATACCGTGTGATGCATAAATTAAATGCAAAACCATATTGTCGTGGCTTTAAATAGGTGCGTTCGACTTCATGCAGCGCTGCACAGATCGATCGAAATCTGTCTTAAAGCGGTGCATGCTGGTTAGAAATCTTGTCCGGATTGATGCTGCGCCGACGCCACGTGACCGTCACATGTGGCATCAAAGTACCGCGACAGCGCTCCGAGATCAGACGGCAAACTCAGACCGTGCAGCTTCTGAAGAGTGACTGCAGGAGCTTTGATGACAACACCGATATTACACGATTGGCCGAGTTCACCACATGACAACAAACACGTGTATTTCGGGTTTATAATTGGACAAATTCCGATTCAAAAGTTTCAAAACAAACAATTCACTTTTCACACCCTCTCTATCCTGCACACATCTTGCTTATTAAAGACTAACAATATTTTACTGCAGTATCATCTTTTGTTAAATAATCTGGTTATAAAGGTTAGCTTGTTTGCACAGGTTTATTTTTAACTTTTTTATACAGACTATTTACTGCATTCATCTCCATGAACGATTTAAATGATATATTTTAGTGTATAACCTAAATAAGTCTTACAGACTTGAAATAAGAAAATCATCATTGATCCTGCCACCCTAAAGCTCTCTTAACAAATTAAAGTATAGAACTATTTTATTAAATAATTATAAAATGGTTTTATTATTATGATATAAATATATATTTTATTTCCTGTCTAGCAGTTTAAAGGCTACCTGCTCTTTCTAGGAAACTTCTACATCGCTCACTTATTTTATCTTTTGTTCTTTTCAACACAATCTTTTTGGATTAAAATGCTTTTTTGAAAATGCATTTATTATCCAAAATAATCTCATTTATTAAGACCTAATCAAAACACCTTGTTTTGCTTTTTACATTGGAAATTTTTATATCTATAAATGTACATATTTAAACCCATTATTAGCATATTCAAACAAGAAGTATTAGCCTAAAGATTGATGTTTAACTCCTAGAATTTATGCTTATTGCTTTGTATTTAATAGACCTGTTCGCTTTTATGTTTATATTAACCTCTCATTTCCTCTTATTTCTCTCATGCATTTGTTATATGTTATTTATAATTCTCTCTTATTGTTTAAAACGGAACTACAGTTTGTAGAGATTGTATTCTGTTTTATTCGTAAATGTTTTGTTATAAATAAAAATAACAAAAAAATATGATGACGCCATGTGATCGGTCATCATGACTGCAGCAACTTTGAGTCCCGAAGTGTCCAGCTGTCCGACTTGACGGCTCCGTTTTCAACTACGCCCCCGCCTGCGCTCGGCTAATCTCGTTGATCACCGGCTGCAGCTGAGCTTCATGTCGAACGCACCTAATGTCTCCCGTCCCAGGCGACACTCGCACTTTAAGCTTGCCCACTGTCTACTTTCAAGCGCATTAGGTGGACGTAGCAAACTTACTGAATTTACTCTGAAACATATAGTAGGAAGACCTCTGTTGTGCATGGGGCTGAAAGAGTGAGAAATAAAGATTACACAGATATATAGCTTGCCTACGACCCATAGGTATTTATTCAGAGATTAGCGTTCAAAGGTCATCTGTACGGAACATCGTTGTGTACGGAATATGGTTAGTCTACGTTAAATAAAAACAATGGTAACGTCTCTCAGTGCAGTAAAATCCTCATCAGTGTGCTGATCATCAGGATGGTGAAGGTATAGTCGGGCATGTTTTGGGCAGAGTTTCCCGGGTCAGTGGATGTGTCTGGGTTTTCGTCTGGTTTTGCAGTAATAGCGCAGTGTTGCTGATTTTCACCAATGCATGCGGCGTAAGCCATGGCGTGCGGGATGTAGTTCTGCTCATAAACGCCCTGGAAGAGATGTGCCATGGGCCCGCGAGCGAACACTGCCACATCCTCACCCCCGTGGGTCTCTGAGTCCAGCGGGACGGCCGACTGCTGGATGTAGTCCTTATCGGCTGACAGACATACAGAACAACAGTACATTAAAACATTGATCTCACAACACAATAGCTATGTTTCCATCCACCTATTTATGCAAATGCGCATAAAAAAACCAGTTGATGGAAACGCCATGACGCGCATAAATTTTGAAAATGCGCATAAAAAACGTATGCGCCTAACTGGGTAGGATAAACTTTTTATTCGATAAGAAAAGATGCGCATAAACTGTGATGGAAACACTTTTACCGCACAAACTCCAGCATGCACATTAAAAAAGGTCATGTGATTTTGTTGAAAGAGATCATGTGATGCTTAAAATGTGTGTGAATGGACAAAACGTCAGGCTGAGCACATTATAAAACATCTGAAATGTTGTTTTGGTCATTATAAAATGCCTTACCGTTTCAGTATTAATGTTATATTATTAATGACCTCCAGAATCAAGAGCGCCTGTGCTCCGCGTCTGAAACCTTCAAACGCCACTGCGCGCTCACTGCTTGTCAGGATTGTCTTCTGAGGCGCATTCACTTCTCCTACTGCAGCAAATGCAGTTTTTACTGTTGATATTTGGCGCCAGTTAATCAGGAAGTGACGATTTGGTCGCTTTGACTCGTTGGATGGAAACGATGCTTCATTCGCACAACTTTTATGCGATAATCCAGTTTTGCGCATAAAGTTTATTCGCATTTTTGGATGGAAACACAGCTAATGACATTAAAGTCTGCACGAACCGGAAGTTGTGACCTTTTTTTTTTGCGTATTGTGATGCAGAGAAACCAAAGAGCTTAGAATAATCAAGAGGCGACACTCAATAGAACGTTCCACTGCAACAGCAACAGCCCCGCGGTTCCGCCATTTTGGAGTGAAAGCGATCAGCCGTCCATTCACTGTTGCCAACTAATTTCAACGAAAAGGTGCTAAGCTCTGAACGAGAAGTCGTTAAAAGTTGCTAGATTACCTCATATGTTAATTTGCATATTACTGATGTCATCACGTTCTACCATTTCTGTTTGTTTAACAGTCTGAGCCTATGGTTAATGAAGGGATTTTTATATTTGCACTATGCTTTATACAAGCACGTCAACCCTACAGAAAAATCCAGCCTAGGCTGGTTGGCTGGTTTTAGCTGGTCGACCAGCCTGGTTTTAGAGGGGTTTTGGCCATTTCCAGGCTGGTTTCCAGCCATTTCCAGCCTGGTCTTAGCTGATCAGGCTGGGAGATGACCAGGTAAAACCAGCTTGGCCAGCCTAGCCAGGCTAGGAGTCCAGCGTAAAATCAAGCTGGTCAGGCTGGTTTTAGCTGGATTTAGCATTTTCCAACCTGATCAGCTAAGACGAGGCTGGAAATGGCTGGAAACCAGCCTGGAAATGGCCAAAACTCCTCTAAAACCAGCCTGGTCAACCAGCTAAAACCAGCCAATCAGCCTAGGCTGGTTTAAGCTGGATTTTTCAGCAGGGAATTTAACTGAATTTATTGTTGCTTGAACACAGTATATCATTATAGATGTGTAGTGAATTTGCAATCTCTCAGACGTAATAAACTCAGACAAGTTCCCAAACTCTCACTTAAATATCTGTGATTGTGAACAAGAGAGAATAAACGGTCAAATTAAATTGTTAAAATAAAAGAGAAGCAGATCAGTTTGACTGTACCAGGGAAATACCTTCACGCTACCGGTGCTAAATCATTTGCCATCAGTACATAGAGAGGTGATCTGCTCTCGGCTGCAGGTGGGAGAGGCTGCTGTACGAGGACTGGGACACCTGGCACTGCTCTGAGGCGGGGGAGGGGCCGGCGGCATCACCCGCAGCTCGTTGAGAAGAGTAGGGACGGTACAGTATGGACAAACGGCAGTCTATAAAAATCTCCAGTAACACAAAAATAGTCGCTAGATTTGTCGCTAGTCGCTTTTTTAAAAATTTGCCGCTGGGGGGACTGAAAAGTCGCTAAATCTAGCAACAAAGTCGCTAAGTTGTCAATACTGCGTCCATTGGATCTTGTTGCAGTCGCGATGGCAAGCAGCTGCTTTGATTTTTTTATTTATTTGTTTAAAAACCACACTAAAGCTGAAATACAACCTAAAAGACGACAAAACTTATTATCACAATCATCAGCACTTTTTGTTTATTTGTTTGTTTATTTTACAGACTTATAATATGCTGTTGTTCTATTGGAGTTTTCATTCCAAAATGGCCGCCGCGCCATCTAGTGGCTGTTTCCCAAATCGCACTAGAGTGTCGCCTCTTGGTGATTCCCTGCTCTTTGGAGAAACGGAATATTAAATGAGAAAATAGTGGGCGTGGCTTGTTTTTTTTACTGTGAGCTGATTAGCTGTAGTAAAGTAGGCGTTTCATTCATAAAGATGGGGAAAGGGTTTGAGTAGAGTTATTACAACGTAACAGACTCCTAACCATTTTTGTTTCATGTCAAAACTGACAGCTGGAGGGGCGTGGTTAAGTATGTTAGCCACACCCACTACATCAGACAGACCTAATCTGAGAATTTAACTCAAAACAAACGGGAAGTGCATTTTCAGATTTCAATTAAAGATTACAAGGGCAAAGTATTTGTTTATTTTTTTTCTCAATGACATGCACTGATGAATTGTTCATCAACTTGACCAGCCTAGCTAGGCTGTGTGCCCAGTCAAAACCAGCTATGTCTAGCTTAAACCGGGCTGGTCAAGTTGGTTTTAGCTGGTCATTTTCCAGCCTGACCAGCTAAAACCAGACTGGAAATGGCTGGAAACCAGCCTGAAAATGGTCAAAAGCCATCTAAAACCAGCCTGGTTGACCAGCTAAAACCAGCCAACCATCCTAGGCTGGTTTAAGCTGGATTTTTCAGCAGGGCTTTCTAAAATGTTGTTGCGCTCTGCACTACTGGGCTACCCTGGTAAATACAACATTTGAGGTTTAATCAGCAAACAACTGGATTTCCTACCAGTGTCAACTTTGCGTATGTCTGGACGCTTGTTGTTGGTGATTTTGTGTCCCGGACCATTCCCGTACATCAGTGTTGTGTATGGTAAAAAGTCAGAGGCGAAGATTGGAGATTTACCTATCAAACAACAGAGATGATTGACAAGTAAGCATTACTGCAACACATAATCATAATAAATAAATATTATTTAATCATAATAGTTTAATAACTCATCTCTAATAACTGATTTATTTTCTCTTTGCCATGATGACAGTAAATAATATTAGACTAGATATTCTTCAAGACACTTCTATACAGCTTAAAGTGACATTTAAAGGCTTAACTAGGTTAATTAGGTTAACTAGGCAGGTTAGGGTAATTAGGCAAGTTATTGTCTGCGACACTATCCTCACCACCCACGCCCTTGGTTATATCCACGTCTAGGGCGGCAGAATAGAGAGGGGGACGTCCGCGACACTACCCTCACCACCCGCGCCCTTAGTTATATCCACGTCTAGGGCGGCAGAATAGAGAGGAAGGCAGCCACGACACTACCCTCACCACCCGCGCCCTTCAGTTATATCCACGTCTAGAACGGCAGAATAGAGAGGGCGACGTCCACGACACTACCCTCACCACCCACGCCCTCAGTTATATCCATGACTAGGGCGGCAGAATAGAGAGGGCGACGTCCACGACACTACCCTCACCACCCACGCCCTCAGTTATATCCACGTCTAGAACGGCAGAATAGAGAGGGCGACGTCCACGACACTACCCTCACCACCCGCGCCCTCAGTTATATCCACGTCTAGAACGGCAGAATAGAGAGGGCGACGTCCACGACACTACCCTCACCACCCCCACCGGAAGAGCGTTGTGCAGCGAAAGAGGCAGAATAGAGAGGGCGACGTCCACGACACTACCCTCACCACCCGCGCCCTCAGTTATATCCACGTCTAGAACGGCAGAATAGAGAGGGCGACGTCCGCGACACTACCCTCACTACCCGCGCCCTAAGTTATATACACGTCTAGGGCGGCAGAATAGAGAGGGCGACGTCCCTGACACTACCCTCACCACCCGCGCCCTAAGTTATATCCACGTCTAGGGCGGCAGAATAGAGAGGGCGACGTCCACGACACTACCCTCACCACCCGCGCCCTAAGTTATATCCACGTCTAGGGCGGCAGAATAGAGAGGAAAGCAGCCACGACACTACCCTCACCACCCGCGCCCTCAGTTATATCCACGTCTAGGGTGGCAGAATAGAGAGGGCGACGTCCACGACACTACCCTCACCACCCGCGCCCTCAGTTATATCCACGTCTAGGGTGGCAGAATAGAGAGGGCGACGTCCACGACACTACCCTCACCACCCGCGCCCTCAGTTATATCCACGTCTAGGGCGGCAGAATAGAGAGGAAAGCAGCCACGACACTACCCTCACCACCCGCACCCTCAGTTATATCCACGTCTAGGGTGGCAGAAAAGAGAGGAAGGCAGTCACGACACTACCCTCACCACCCGCGCCCTCAGTTATATCCACGTCTAGGGCGGCAGAATAGAGAGGAAGGCAGTCACGACACTACCCTCACCACCCTCACCCTTAGTTATATCCACGTCTAGGGCGGCAGAATAGAGATGTCGGTGTCCGCGACAGCTCCCTTGCCCCCATCACCCAGTTCAGCTAGCTCCGCCCTGTGTGTGATGACAATAAAGTTCAATCTAATCTAAACTAATCTAGTTCTGGTTTAAATGAATGTTTTTATTATTAAGGGAAAACAAAATAAAAAACTACATAGGCATGGGTGAAAATAATCTTTGGCCCTAAAACTAATAACAGGTTTGGCCACCCTTAGCAGAATCAACTGCTATCAAGCATTTTCGATAACTTGCATCGAGTCTGTTACAGCGCTGTGGAGGAAATTGTCCCACTCATCTTTGCAGAACATTGGTGGGTTTTCCAGCAGTAATCACCTTATTAACCTCATGCACACAGCATCTCAATTGGATTCAGGTCAGGACTTTGACTAGGCCACTTCAAAGTCTTTATTTTGTGTTTATTTGTGTTATCTTTGACTAAGAATTAAATTTGTTTGATGATCTGAAACATTAAAGTATTACGATTGTGCACAAAAATAAGAAATCAGTAAGGCGGCAAGCACTTTTTCAGACCACTGTGTGTGTGTGTGTGTGTGTGTGTGTGTGTGTGTGTGTGTGTGTGTGTGTGTGTGTGTGTATAAATAAAATGATTTTCTCTCTTCTGAATTTCCCTAGTGCTGTTTAACAAAGATATTTTCAACACCTTTTTGACTGCAACATTTCACAAATGATTTCATTATGAATAATGTTGCTTTCAGCACTATATGGTATTGATTCTCCACCTCACTCGCACACTCTCACACACACACACACAGGTCAGAGGTGTACCCAGAATGCTGTTTCCTCTGAAAGGGTATCCGTTGAAAGTGAATGCGTGTGAGTGGTCAGCAGTGACGATGGTCAGCGTCTCCTCTTCATCAGTGAGCTCCAGTCCACGAGAAACCGCCTCATCCAGAGCCACAGCTTCATGCAGAGCGGCTGACGCCCGACTGGAGTGATGACCCTGATCAATACGACCACCTAAACCATACACAGGAAAAGCACACATATATCACACACACAAACACATGCATCCACAAACAAACACATGCATCCACAAACAAACACATGCATCCACAAACAAACATGCATCCACAAACAAACACATGCATCCACAAACAAACACATGCATCCACAAACAAACACATGCATGCACAAACAAACACATGCATCCACAAACAAACATGCATCCACAAACAAACACATGCATCCACAAACAAACACATGCATCCACAAACAAACACATGCATGCACAAACAAACACATGCATCCACAAACAAACATGCATCCACAAACAAACACATGCATGCACAAACAAACACATGCATCCACAAACAAACACATGCATGCACAAACAAACACATGCATCCACAAACAAACACATGCATCCACAAACAAACACATGCATCCACAAACAAACACATGCATGCACAAACAAACACATGCATCCACAAACAAACATGCATCCACAAACAAACACATGCATGCACAAACACTGACTGGACTGGACTGGACTTGTTTTAAAGCTGACAGACCTTCGACCAGCAGGAAGAATCCTTTGGGGTTTTTCTTGAGGATCTGAATGGCTTTGTCGGTGGTTTCAGAGATGGAGGGGTCCATGCTGTGATCTCGCTCCACATCAAACCTCAGATCAGCCGGCTCAAACAGAGCTGAAACACACACACACACGCAAAACACTTCACATTTTGCTGGATTTTTAACTCTTTTCCCGCCAGTGTTTCTTAAAACATTGAAATGTTGACTCTCACCCATCAGATAATCAGTCTTTTCAGGATCCACAGCGTCAAAATCTGTCTTATTCCACACATATCTGGCAACCTGTACAAACACATCAGCAAAACACGTCACAATCATCCAAACGTTCTGCGGTGTCTAATCTTTGGCCTCTGATTGGCTGTATTGTTCCTGAGCTCAGCAGAGAGGCATGTGATTGGTTGGAGTGTTCATTAACTCATCAGAGAGGTGTGTGATTAGCCGGAGTATTTATTAACTCATCAGTGATTGGCTGGAGTAATCATGAGCTCACCAGAGAGGCGTGTGATTGGCTGGAGTGTTCATTAACTCATCAGAGAGGCGTGTGATTGGCTGGAGTGTTCATGAGCTCATCAGAGAGGCGTGTGATTGGCTGGAGTGTTTATTAACTCATCAGAGAGGCGTGTGATTGGCTGGAGTGTTTATGGGTTCAGCAGAGAGGTGTGTGATTGGCTGGAGTGTTTATGAGTTCAGCAGAGAGGCGTGTGATTGGCTGGAGTGTTCATGAGCTCATCAGAGAGGCGTGTGATTGGCTGGAGTGTTCATTAACTCATCAGAGAGGCGTGTGATTGGCTGGAGTGTTTATTAACTCATTAGAGAGGCGTGTTATTGGCTGTTATGTTGATCACCTTTCCTTCCTTCATCTGTATCCAGTCCTGAATGAGGTTTCTGCCGTCTCTCCGCTGGCCCTGAGCACTCGCGTCTGACGGATACTCTGGATCGGGGAAACCTTTAGGTGTCATGTACTTACGGCCTCCTCCGATGATCACCTGCACACACACATACACACTTGCAACTGTCCAAGAGATCCAACAAGTGAACTTGAACATGATATTTAAAACAATTTCCCCCCTCCGGCTCTTAAAGGGACAGATGACCTCAAAATTCTGCCATTCTCCACTTATTGTTGTTTATTTTGGACAAATCATTAACATTTTGCAGCTTCAGATGTGTATTTTTCTCACACACACACTCACATCAATATCGATGTTGTGTAGTAGTTGTGTAGCGATGTCCACACAGCCTTCAGTAGCTGCAGACGCAGGCAGATCCGCATCGCTGTACCAGGTCCTGCTGGCACTGTGAGCGAATGAAGCTGCTGGAGTCGCATGCTGGACACGAGTCGTCGTTACTATTCCTACTGACTTACCTGAGACACACACACACACACACACACACGCATGCATGGGCACACATACACACAGACAGACAGACAAACACACACACAAAACATATTTAATGTGGGGCATGTAAACGCCAGAAATGTATTAGCACAGGTCTAACTAAAGGGTTAATGCTGACAACTGATCATCAACAGCAACAATTACACATTTTAACTCTTCCCAACAGGAAAAACCACCAACAATCAAGAATGCATGATTATAAGCTGTCATGCCTTTGCATTTAAAAAATGTCCCTATAATGGAAGTCAATGGGGCAAAAACAGCCCTCAACATAATGACAGGGGAGTCAATCTGAACAATGCACATGGGTTAAGCGTCTGACCTGCGTCTTTGGCCCATCTGAGGATGGACGTGACCTCGTTGCCCTTCTGTGATCGACACACTCCGTTACGTGCTGCTGCGCTCACACCCACAGTGTTCAGGTTGGTTTTGACTCCGCACAGATACGCTGTAGCCGTCGCTGCGCTGTCAGGAATCTGAAAATCCACTGAATACACCTGCACACACACACACACACACACACACACACACGTATCATCATCAGATGAAGATTGATGAGGAATTATCACGATTTACGTAAACTTTAAATATATATTTGTTTATATATACAAGATTAATCCTACATGGAAAATGGTCATGTTGAAAACAATGTTTAATACCACCCTGACAAATTAACATGTAACTAAAATAAATATATAAAAAATAATTATATATATATATATATAGTTCTGTCTGGTCCTTGAATCTGATTGGCTAATAGCCGTGCAATATTTTGCCAGTAAAATCACACAAAAGCCTTTTCACTCTTCATCTTTGTGTATTACTCCGCCAACATACAGCCAGCAACAAGCAGAGAGACGCTACAGTTTGACAAATATTACTGCTGTTAGACAACAAAATGTAATTTTGAGGCTTTTTTAGTGGAGAATGTAGCTGTTTAGATTGCCACTATGCAGTTTATTTGTAAGAATAGTGCCTATTTTTAAATACAATTTAAAAATATTTACAATTTCTGAGAGAGTTCGTCGACGGCCATTAGCCTGCCATAGTGTAGTAGACCAAAGACGGTTGACGTTTTTTATCCATAAGATGGCGCCATGACCGCTTAATAAGCCTTTACCTTTAGAAGATTATAAAAGTCTGATTTCTAGTTACAGCTGATCAAATCATTATTAAACTGGTAAGCACACCTGCCAACACTTCTGTTTTTCATGGGAGTATCCCGTATTTCAGACCAGTCTCTCGCAACCATCCTTTTTTTATTTCTTCCTAAAAAACTCCTGTAATTTCACTCCCCTCTTTGGTACAGTCTGTAAACACCCCCGGGTTGGCAACTTGGGTACAGTACCCGATCAAAGCGGCCGCTAAAAACCCGCTGCTTCCTATCCCGGTTTTCAACAGTGTCAGAGACCTCACCCCTGAACACCCTCTCTCCCCGCTCTCCTGGATTTTCAGAGGCATGTTGGCAGGTATGCTGGTAAAGATCCTAGTCAATCTCTTATCTTTTGTATGTTGTAGTGCTGTATTTATACTGATTTGCTCACATATCAGGAATGTGTGTTGTGTTGGCAGATTGAAATAAGCAAAGTCCGCATGTGTTTAGCGCTTTTCCGTATCGCAAACACAACAGCAGTCTGGTAGTGATCGCGGTGCTATTTTCGGGGTTAATTATTGTGATATCCTGATTGCATCAGAGAAAAATACTGTAGACTGTAACACTGTAAGAAGATATCTCTGTAGATGGATGACATTTCATGTCACGTTCAGCTTTATAATCTTAAAGTGTGAACAAAATCAGCAGTTTTGGCAGTTTGGTTGACTGCGTTAAGTGCGAGACGGCTACAGAATGAAGTGGCAGAAAGTATGTGAGAGCCTGTGACGAGTCTCTTTGACCAATCCATTGATTGGCCAAAAGCGGGAAGGACTGAGACGCATCTGCTCAATTGGGAACACCCGAGTTCCCCTCTATAAAAGCCAGCAGTGTTGGCTTGTGAGTAGCCGTACATTTGTTCCTGTTTGTTTTGTTTTGTTTCTTTTTAGCTTTGGTTAATATTTGATTTGGCTTACCTAAAGTGAGCACTTGATTATTCTTTAATGTTTAAATAAATACTTTTTGGTATCAAACCCAGTCAGAGGTCTATTTTGAGGTGGTGGTTCTTGCAGGGTTACCTGCCGGATATTTGCCACATTAAAGGCTCTCAAAACATTAGAGCAGGTGCTTAATCACGTATATAAGGTTGTATATTGGTTTTTCTCACTCTTTGTCTCTCTGTTTCTCTCTTAAATTGCTTCCTAGGTGCCATGGTTGCTGGGAGGAGTTGGGGAGCTAAGGCTGAGGATGGAGAACCATTTTGACCTTCATACTGAGTTTAGGGGGATTGTGGGGTTTGATGTTTTGTTAAAAGACTCTGGTCTTTTTCTTTTTAGGGGGGGTGTGTGACGAGTCTCTTTGACCAACCCACTGATCGGCCGAAAGCGGGAAGGACAGAGACGCATCTGCTCAATTGGGAACACCCGAGTTCCCCTCTATAAAAGCCAGCAGTGTTGGCTTGTGAGGAGCCGTGCTTTTGTTCCTGTTTGTTTTGTTTTGTTTCTTTTTAGCTTTGGTGCACTTGATTATTCTTTAATGTTTAAATAAATACTTTTTGGTACCAAACCATCCGGTGTATGTCCTCCCTTTAATTTTGTCATTGCCTTTGAGCCGGGTCGTGACAGAGCCCAATGCAGGAATGCAATAAATCAATGCAGTTAAACACCAGCATATTGCCCTACTCTTAACCCTAACCACAAGCAGGGCTTTACATTAACTTTTTTAATCACCGGCCACTATGGCTAGTTGTTTTCCAATGTTACTAGCCACTCTGCATTTTCACTAGCCACAATTTTGTTGTTGGGAAAATATATTTTATATGCATAAATTTGATGTCGACATGCTAAAATTACTTGATTTAAATTTTAAGTTCATCTCCCATTAAAGAAGTATTGTAAAAAAAAGATAATTAAACCATTTTAACAAAAATTAAAGTAAATAAAACCGTAAGCAAGTGAAAGCAGGTGAAACATATCGTGTGTGATAATGAAAGGATGATCACATGCACACGGTTAACTATAGGCAATTTAATAATCTATTCAAAGTAAAAGCACCCGGTGCTGCTTAAAAAAGACAAATTTTGAGCTCTTAAAAGCATCAGGACTGTGGATGCACGTTCTTCACTTTTTGTCTAGTTTATTTGCAAGAGAAACGGTGACAGTTGCGTTTCCAGAACCTGTTCCAGACACATGCTTCATGATTCGGTAGCGTGCACACGTTAAACAGTCGCGCGCACGGGTTTTAAGAAGTCGCGCGCATCACATCAGCTGTTAGCGTGAGTGACGATCATTCTCTCATTCGGTATTCTCTTGCTTTCTTCTGCTCGCGTGATCACAATTATTTTACTTCTTAAATCCAAGATCACATTTGCACGTAAATTGGGTCATCCTTAAATTGTCGAACTTAGGAAAACTACAATTTAAAAATTATTTTCAACCAGCCAAAGTGGCTAGTGGGATTGTCTGTCTAACCCGCCAAAGCTGAAATCTACCTGCATTTGGAGGGTTGGCAGGTGTTAATGTAAAGCCCTGATCACAAGTAATAGCAATGACACACATTCAGTGTTAATCCACACACATCTACACTGAACTATTTTGAAAATTGGCTGCGCCGCATGTGAGGAGCATCTGATGGTGACTATAGCAACAAACGGCAGAGGATCAGCAGTTCAGAAACGCACTTAAATCGGTAAAGGAAGAACCAAGCGTCGCATTTTAAGAGTAGTTTTGGACACGATATGTGAACAGCCCCACACAGATTTAACAGTTTTAGAGATACAATACAAGCACTGATCTATAATCGACGTGTGGTTACAAGCCGTGCTGGATGATTACAACTTATGACACACAATTAAACGCATATTTAACAAACTACACAAAACAAGGCAACAATTTTAATTAAACTTACATGTTATGATTTGAAGGAAGAAAAAACTGCTCCATATGAATTGTAAACGTTACTGACAAAGTCCCTGTTAAAGTCTGACAAAGTCCCGTAGTCTCTGCTGCTCCTTAAATAGCATTCCCGCATTGCAGCGTAGGTTATCGTACCAAAAATCAGACAACTGTCAGGAGCAAACACAGCACACCGTTGACTATACTGTGGTGTTGTTGTGAAAATGATCTTTAACCCTTTACTCCCCGCAGCTGCATCTCCATCTGTCAGTGATCATCATCTTTGTGTCATGATCAGTCTTGTGATCCCCCGCTACTGTGTGGAGGGAAAGCGCGTGCTCAGTTTTCTGGAACTGAAACTACATATTTATGCATTTACCGTATCGACGTTGATGCGATCAAGCAAAAGATCCGAACCCAACTTGATTCAATTATTCGACACCAAGTCGACTTTTTCGCTAAAGAATCAATAGATTTAAACACTGTGCACTTTCAGATTTAACCCTCAGCTGGATGTTTTCAATCACTCAGAGTTGTGTTACACACGGCATGGAAGCTCATATTCAATAACCCATAATAGGGGCTCGTTACATAAAGGCTGTTTCTCAATATGCGTTCTTGTGTCCTCGTGAAACGTCATCAACCGTCGCCAAAGTACCGCTCCAATTCTAAAGTTCACATCTTTCCAAGTACAGATGAAATTCCCGGATGTGTACTTGCTCTGCCCCTTTGGCCAAGGATGCATCGAGAGGTGACTTGTGCGAACTTGCCAAACTCAGGAATCCCAGAATGCATTGCAGCGTAACCAGCAAGTGCTAATCGCGGAGGAGGAAACCCTCACGGTTTTAAAAATACTCCTTTGCTGTGTCACAAAGTAAAGTTTGAACAGTTTTTCAGGGGAGAATGTAGTTGTTTTAAACTAGAATCGGCAGTTTATTCACACAGATAGCGCTTCTTTGACGATGTGCCTCGGCTTATGCGGACTCTGACCCCCAGCCTGCCAGCGGGAGCTCCGTCATCAGCTCCCTCGCCAGAGCAGCTTTACTTCAGCCAGACCATCTCGGATGTACTGCTGAACCTCATCTCTCCATTGTAGTTAAAACATGATATTTAATACATCTTGTGAATATCTAACTGACAGTTTTTGGTCTTATAAATCTATCATTTGTTCTCAGGTGTATCATTTTGGCAGTGTTTTGTTACATTTTATAATCGTCTTTAATTATGTTGCCGTGTTGTACGCTGTTTGTCTTTGTTTACCAAATTGATTGACGTAATCTTTATTTCTTATCGTGTATGTCTTTATTAATTATTGTGTGTATAATTACCATTGTAGTTTAATAAATCTGATAATCAAGACACGTGTCAGTGTAATAACTCATTTTAATTCACATTTATATGAATATACAGTGAGAGTAAAAAGTATTTGATCCCTTGCTAATTTTGTTGGTTTGCTTACTAATAAAGACCTGATCATTCTGTACTTTTAATGGTAGATGTATTCTAACATGGAGAGACAGAGTATAAAAAAGAAAATCCAGAAAATAACTTTAAATAAAATATTTTAATTCATTTGAATTTCACTGAGGGAAGTAAGTATTTGATCCCTCTAGCCTAAAGCACCTAATACTTGGTGGCACAGCCTTTGTTTGCAAGCACAGCGGACAGACGTTTGTTGTACTTAACCACTAGGTTAGCACACATTTCAGGGGGAATTTTGGCCCACTCTTCTTTGCAGATCCTCTCTAAATCATTAAGGTTGGTGGGCTGTCGCTTGGCAACTCGGACCTTCAGCTCCCTCCATAGATTTTCAATTAGATTGAGGTCCGGAGACTGGCTGGGCCACTCCATGACCTTAATGTGGTTCTTCTTGAGCCACTCCTTTGTTGCCTTTGCTGTATGCTTCAGGTCGTTGTCATGTTGGAAGACCCAACCACGGCCCATTTTCAACTTCCTGGCAGAGGGGAGGAGGTTGCCCCTCAGGAATGCTTAGTACATGGCTCCATCCATCTTCCCACTGATGCGGTGAAGTAGCCCTGTGCCCTTGGCAGAGAAACACCCCCAAAACATAATGCTTCCACCTCCATGCTTGACGGTGGGTACAGTGTTACTGGGGTCATAGGCAGCATTTTTCATTTTTCTTCCTCCACACATGACGAGTAGAGTTTAGGCCAAATAGTTTAATTTTGGTCTCGTCTGACCACAAAACCTTCTCCCAATCACTTTGTACATCTTTGAGGTGATCATTCGCATACTTTAGGCGGGCCTTCACATGTGCCTTCTTAAGCAGGGGTACCTTTCGGGCACTGCAGGATTTTAATTCATTGCGGCGCAAAGTGTTGCCAATTGTTTTTCCTGGTGACTGTGGTCCCAGCTGCCTTAAGGTCATTTACTAACTCCCGCTGTGTGGTTGCAGGCCGATTTCTCACAGTTCTCATGATCATTGCCACCCCACGAGGTGAAATCTTCTGTGAAGCACCAGACCGAGGTCTATTGATGGTCAGGTCATACATCTTAAATTTTCTCACAACTGCATGAATGGTTGTTACTTTAATACCCAGCATCTTGCTAATGTTTTTGTAGCCCATTCCAGATTTGTGCAGGTCAACAATCCTGTCTCTGAGGTCCTGAGAGAGTTCTTTGGTCTTACCCATGTTGGAGAGTTTGGAATCTGTCTGATTGTCTGATTCTGTGAACAGGTGTCTTTCACACAGTTGATTAGTTAGAACAGGTGTCTTCAATTCAGGTAACAAGTTGATTGGGATTGTCTAACTGGTCTGTGAAAGCCAGAACTCCTAATGAATACTAGGGGATCAAATACTTATTTCCCTTAATGAAATACAAATCAATTAATCTATATTCTTTAAAGTTATTTTCTGGATTTTCTTTTTGATATTCTGTCTCTCCATGTTAGAATACATCTACCCTTAAAAGTACAGAATGATCAGGTCTTTATTAGTGGGCAAACCAACAAAAGCAGCAAGGAATCAAATACTTTTTACTCTCACTGTATGTGTGCATTTTCCTAAATCAATGTAGATTTATAATATTAATATAATATTAATTAAATCATTTTATTGTGAATGTACAGTGAAACCGATGAATCCATGGTGAGGTAAGTGACGTTATGAAGTACACAGCTGGTCCATTTGAAGAAGTACCCGACTTGTGTCCTCGCGTCTTCGGGAGTTTGTTCTTCCAAATCTGAACTTCCAAGGACACAAGTCCGAACTTTGCGTATTGGTATTGAGAAACAGCCTACGTGAAACTAATTAAAAAGCTGATTAAAATGATCAATCAGTCATCAATCGGTGGATTAATTTGGGAGTGAATTTCTAAAGACTTTAAACATAGTTTGAACACAACGTTACCTTCGCAAGACCCACATTGGGGAATGTGTCCATATTCATGACGGTCTCCTCGCCTGAGTGTTTCTGTAACTGACCCTTCAGGATCCGCGCGGCTGTGATGGTCGTCACTCCCATACCTGCACAACAAAACAAAAAACACTGTAACATCCCAAACGGCATGATCTGATTGGCTGGAGCAAGTGCCAGCAGGAGGTTTCTGATACTGTGCTGAAATACCAATGCAAAACAGTACAGGGATAATCATAGTTTTTTATTTTGTTTTTTTTTTAATTTAACAATATATGAAGGTTGTCGTGTAAATCGTTCAGCTCACCGTCTCCCAGAAACAGCACAATGTTTTTGGCCACATTAGTGTTGATTTTCCTGCTCAGAGCCGAACGCAGTGTGTTTTGAGCCGACTTCCTCCAGAACTCTGGATTCTCCTCTTCAACTGACATACACAAATAGCATGTTACACTTTTTATTTTTACATTTTCATTAATTTTCCTTCAGCTTAGTCCCTTGTTTTATCAGGGGTCAAAACAGCAGAATGAACCTCCAATTATTTCAGCATATGTTTTGCACAGCGGATGGCCTTTCTAGCTGCAACCCAGTACTGGGGAACATCCATACACACTCATACACTACAGACAATTTTAGCCTACCCAATTCACCTGTACTGCAGGTCTTTGGACTTGTGGGGGAAACTGGAGCACCCGGAGGAAACCTATGCAAACACGAGGAGAACATGCAAACTCCACACAGAAATGCCAACTGACTCAGCTGGGGCTCGAACTAGTGACCTTCTTGCAGTGAGGCGATTGCCACCATGCTGCCCTTTTAATTTTACATTTTCATTCATTTTCCTTCAGCTTAGTCCCTGATTTATCAGGGGTCACCACTGCGGAATGAACCACTAACTATTCCAGCATATGTTTTACACCACAGATGCCCTACCAGCTGCAGCCCAGTACTGGGGAACATACACACAGGACAATTTAGTTAATCAATTCCCCTATAGCGCATGTGTTTGGACTATGGTGGAAACCAGAGCACCCGGAGGGAAACCCGTGCAAGCCTGGGAAGCACATGCAACCCCATACAGAAATGACAACTGACCCAGCTGGTACTCGAACCAGCAACCTTCTTGCTGCGAGGCCACAGCACTACCCACTGCGCCACAGTGTCACCCTGGGTTTAGGTATTAAGCAGGGATTTCCAAACTCGGTCCTGAGGGGCCGGTGTCCTCCAGATTTTAGCTCCAACTTGCCTCAACACACCTGCAAGGATGTTTCTAGAAAGCTCAGTAAGAGCTTGATCCGCTAGCCCAGGTGTGTCTGATTGGGGTTAGACCTAAACTTTGCAGCCCAGCGGTCCACCAAGACTTGGGCGCCCCTGGCATTAGGGATGTAAAATAAGATCATACTTAATAAGTGTTAATACTCATTATCTTATTAATTGGCAGGTAATAATCCAGTAGGAAATGGTGTGAACTGCTACATGTACGTAAGTGTTGTGTAATTTTAAAATACATAAGTTCCTGAGAAGGTGGCGCAGTGGGTAGCACATTCGCCTCACAGCAAGAAGGTCACTGGTTCGAGCCTCGGCTCAGTTGGCGTTTTTGTGTGGAGTTTGCATGTTCTCTCTGCGTTCACGTGGGTTTCCTCCGGGTGCTCCGGTTTCCCCCACAGTCCAAAGACATGCGGTACAGGTGAATTGGGTAGGCTAAATTGTCCATGGTGTATGAGTGTGTGTGTGAATGTGTGTGTGGATGTTTCCCGGAGGTGGGTTGCGGCTGGAAGGGCATCCGCTGCGTAAAAACTTGCTGGATAAGTTGGCGGTTCATTCCGCTGTGGTGACCCCGGATTAATAAAGGGAGTAAGCCGACAAGAAAATGAATGAATGAAAGTTCCTGAGAATACAAAAAAACTAGAAAAAGGCTTTAAAACTGCACCATAATTAAATAAGTCTACTGAAAGAATGATTAGCATATTCAATCATGCCCGAAGCCGGGGTGGGGGGGTAAAAGGTGGGGTTTAAACATTATATAATATATTTATCATATAATTAATATATTTATATTCAATATATATTGTAATAAAGTGTGATTTTAAATAACTCTCGTCAGTAATTTGAATCCCATGGTGCCTCAAAGCCACGATAATGCGACGCGAGTCACGTGACAGAACCCACTGAGTGATAACATTTGAGTCTTTGATGTGACATCTATACCGAGTAATGCTGTGAGACAAAAAGAGCAAGAAAGGCAGAAAAGACAAAGGTCCTGAGTTTGTCCCATACATCAGCTCATTTGTCAGATTTTTGACAGCTATGCCTTCATAAATAATGAAAATAATCCATCGAAAAAGGCTTTACGGCTGTTGCTTGGATTATAATCTGATGTAAGAGAAGTCTTCTGTCACTACTGTATTGTTTATAAACAAACATTTTAAAGGGAACTTTTAGTTATTTTTCTAAATCTTCGATTTTATTCCTGAAATAAAAATGAGCAATAAAATGGTGTGAAGCACCAGAAGCAGGCCATGTTAAATTAATTTGAATATATTGCGGCTATTGTTGATATCCAGGAATTTTTATACTTTTTTTAACCAAAGAGGCTAGAAAAATTCTGAGGAATCTATTATTATTATTATTATTATTATTATTATAATTAATTGAAATGGCCAAATTGTGACTGAAGACAGTTGAATGTGCTGGCCAGTTTGTTTTTTGTCTAATAAATGACAGTATAGGCTATTTTTTTATTTTTTTTTACTTTAACAGATTGCCATTTTTCCTAATGATATATGATGTAATAAATTTGCATTTTAAAAATGAGTCTTGTTCTAGATTTTCTTTACTGCAAATTTTTAGGAAATTTTTTTAGTACATCAAAAAGTGTGGTTGATGACATCTGACTAGCTAATACCGCAAAAAAAGGAAAGTACTGCTTAAAATGTCACTAAAATGCAGTAATTAAATCTCATAGTTAAATAGAAACTGAGGCGTATTACTGCAAAAAGGTCCACTTTTTGAGAATAAAGAACCACCCAGGCGGGCTACGGGCCTGTCAATTGATGTTTAATGGTTGAACTTTTACATAATTGCGATTCTGATCACCAAATGCTAAATTAAATTAATTAAAAACACAGGAAAACATGCAAAAATACATGCAAATCATTCTTAAAAATGATTACAGATTTCTACATATAATAAAAGTGAACATGAAACTGATTATCCAACTTATTACATCTAAAATAAATCAATTATCTTTAACTTTATTACAGTTTTGAGATGAAGTAATTTGAGGTGATCTAATGTTTTTATTTTCAGCGCACAATAAACTGGAAAATATAATGTACTCTTGTGATTTAACGTTTGGTATGTAGCTATTTGTAAATGTATATTTGTATGCATTTTTGTTTTTACCATCTGTCTGGGCTGTTTGCATTGTTTTTAATAAGAAGAAACATTTATAATGTCCATTAAATCAATTTAATTTGTTCTGCCATTGTTCTGCTATATTTCCACTGTCAAAAATTAAAACATAAACAAATAATTTGCATCCACCAAATTTATTTTTATATCTACACCACGAATTATCATATTTAAAGTTGCAAAAAAACAAATAAATTAAATAAATAATTGAACAGAGGCTCACCTGATCCAGAAGTGATGGTCAGCAGAAAACAGACGACGGACACACGGACAGCAAACATGATGAGACAAAACTGTACCAAACACTGGAATAAACAGCAGAAATCATGTGTATATGACAGACTCTCGACCTCTAACCCCCAGTGATGTCAACAACACCCCCACCAATTAAAAACAAAACAAAAGTTCACGGCCGCTGTACTGTAAATGAGCAATGACTGACTGTAAACTCTTCACGCAGGGTTGCCAAGTCTACAGTTTTCCCGCGGAATTGGGCTACGTTTAACCACGTCACGTTTTAATATATATATATATATATATATATATATATATATATATATATATATATATATA